CCAATTATGGTTTTTTACAATTGACTATCGGAGCAGAATAATATATTGGAGATGATTCTTCAGTCATATTAATGAAATAAATTTAATATATTCGAATTCAAAGATTTATACCAGGAACGTAGTAATTTCATTACGAAGTGTATGGTTAACAGACAACTAGAATGGGTTGTGAACAAATTCCGGGTTGTGATTGGAAGGAAGTTAATCATGTGAAATTATTGTAGAATTGTAGAATTATAGAACGTGTATATATATATAGTTATGAATATGAGTATATGCTTGAATGGGTGTGATGTACTCATAGGGTGGGTTTCTTCGGATTGGCCTTTGAATGTCGATTGTCTTGAAAATTTGTTTGAAAGCCTTAAAGTACACTTGAATAATTCAATGATTTATTGATGAAAAAATCGACACGAATAATATTAGTGGTTTTAGAGAGGGAATGATGTCTACTAACTAGGAAAACTCTCAGAATTAACACGCTTGGCTATGGGACGAGTTACACAGTCAATTGGTCAGATGAAGCTAAATTATGAAGTAAATTAAAGGTGTTATAAATGATTCTATTAGACCATTGATTTCTAATGTTCGTTGTAAATTGTTTAATTAAATAGGTGTGGACGCTATCAAAATATGAGAATTGATTTTAAATAATTGCATTGATAATGATAATTTTGGGTTTAACCTTTGATATCAAAGCTTTAATTTATTGGTCGTATAATGAATAATAGGTTTGGGTTAAAATTTGGTTAATTCTGTTTCTATTACACTTTGAGTGAATTTACGAATGTTTAGTGTAATTTTCTTGTGCAATAATTTGTTGCATGTAATCCATGTTGAATTCTTATTACGATATTGGGGATGATTGAATTCTTTTTGCATAAATTAATTTGGACGGATTTCTGATTTCCATGAAAGCCGTAAGCCTGTGTAACTGTGAGTTGAAGCATTCAGTTATGGTCGGTGAATAATTGTTTGATAACATCCCTGTATTATTGTTAGAATGATTGAATGTTGTATAAAATAAACAAGTTATATACTGAGTAACGCTACGTGGTGACTTTATATAACCGAGGTTATACTCTTTATAAATTTATTGATCGTATATGCTAGGTTACTCTGATTTTCTTTTTTATTTCTTAGATCTCGAACATAACTTGGTTTTATGATGATGTGATATTGGTTTGTTTATAACATATTTATTTATTAAGTTTATGTGGTATTACAGGTATTACAGTATGTGCGTGGGAATGTACACGTCAACGCTCACATAAAAAAACATTGGATAAATTAGTTATGACTATAAATTTCATGGTTATAAAAACCTATTTACTTGGTATTTGATAAATATTAAAGAAATAATATACTAGAGTAAAAAAAAAAATAAAAAAAAAAATAAAAAATTAAAATAAAATAAAATAAAATAAAATAAAATAATAAAAAAAAAAAAAAAAAATCTGCCAGTTAAGTCTGATTAGTAATTTCACGAAGCGAACACTAAGAAATTGGAGTTTGCTTTGAATTAAATGGTTGTTTCTATCTTTTTCTTTTTTTTTTGTTTATTTTGTTCCGATTTTTCAATGACTTTGAGATCGGAATTTGAGTCTTCATCATTCTCATAAACTTTGTCTTTGTAGTCTTGGCCTTTATCTTGGTCAGACTCGATATTTGAGACTAAATTTGAACCAGAATTGGGAATAGTATTATGGCTTGTGATTTGGTTAGTATTTTGGATCAAATATAGTATAGCTTATCCCTTAATAAAATCTTTAAAAATCTTTAAATTAATTACTATATTTTGTAATATAATCTTTTAAATTAGCTTTTTGATATTGATTAGAATAATAATTATAATATAAATACAATAAAATAACTATATAAAATTAGAAAGTTAAATAGTTTTTAAAAGGGATAACCTATACTATATTTGATACATATTTTTTGATAAACTTAGGTTTTTTTTGGTGGTATAAGAGTTAGTAGATTCGATCTCATCTACGATTAGGTCAATATCAGAACTTGAGACAGAGGAAGGAATTTTTTGAATATTGCTATAAGTATTAGACATGTTAATATAATTGATGTCTGTGGCCTCGATGTAAATAATGCTGCTTCTTATATATTGAAGAAAGCCTGAAATGAGCAATAAGTGGCCCATTTTAACATTATTTTAAAAATAAGTAAATCTTGGTGATTGGGTAGAAAATAAGATTCTCAATTTCATTAGGATGTTACGACTGCCAGTATAAGAGTTGTAATGATAGCATTCTGAATTAAAATATGTTTTTCAGATTGTACTTGTTTCCTGTTTTACTATTACTGAAAACATGCAGTGTAGAATACTGATAGGAATTTTTTCTGCTGTAAACTTTTAGTTAGTATCATCTGAGGTGATTAAATTAACATAAGATATGATTGCATATTTTTCAAGATTTTCTATGACGAACTTTTCTGAAAATGATACTATATCACCAATGAAAAATTCTGTATATGGTTTTTGAAATAGGTAGAAGTATTTCTAGTAAATAAAATGAAAGTTATTTTTAGAAAATTGATACTTAGCTACACTGTAGATGAGTGAGTTTGAATTCTCTTTGGTTGTTACTAAAACTATAATGGAGAAGTGTGAGAACATTGGTAAAATAATTTAAAATGAAGATAAAAAAGATAAAACAAAAAAAAAAACTTCAGTGCAGTCAAATATTTATATATAGAATTTTCGACACTAACTAGTATGCTAATTGGCAATAGTTTGTTAATTATAGAATTGTAATTACAAATTTAATAGAGAATGGCTTCATTGAATAGAAAGAAAAAAAATTTAAAATAAAATAAAATTATTGATAATAATAATAATGCTTTTGGCTTGTTGTTATATTTAGATAATTATTTTGCATGCCTTTGAAGAATGTTTTAGATGACAAGTATAAATTTGTAATTGTGCTTTAATAATTGACTGATACTGATAGCAAATATAATAATAGTCTTTATTGGTTTAGGGTGAATAAGAATTTATTAAATAATAAAATTTTATAAGTTTGATTAAAAAGGAGAGCACTGAAAAAAATTATAATAAGAATGTAAATAGCTTGCTTGAATTTGATTAACAATAAAGTGTATATATACCAAACTAATTCTTTTTTTCAAAGACAAATTGCACACTGATATAAACCTTTAATATAGAATGATATTTATAATGTTGTGAGTTCATATGAAATTCATATTAAGCAAGATATTTAGTTGGGATTTGAGCAAAGATTTAAGTCAAAGCAACATTAGAATAGTAAAAAGTATATAATTGTTCTTAGCTATTTTGAAACCTTAATACTAATAAAAATAATAGATAAATAATTTTAAAAAAAAGGACATTAAAAAAAAAAGGGTATTTTTAGGCATTTCCTGTGGAAGATGTATCTCTCACATATCCACCAATCAAAATCAATCCAAAATCATATGATTAGCAATTATTTCTTTATAATAAATTTTACATAACAGATATTTTAATATAAATTTTTTTATATATTAAATATATATTCAAATAGATAAATATTTCAATATATTAAAAGTATTTTAATTAGCCTATATAGAGTTTTGGCTGCAGAAAAAATAAGAATCCATAGTACTGGGTTGGTAAGGTTCAATGTGCTATATAATATAACTACACTACATAAGTAAGGAATAGACTAGAAAAATTACTATTTAAAAGTAAGTGTTAAATAGTTTTTCTAGTTCATACTTCAATAGTATGACTATTATTTCATATAAGCAAAAACTTAATTGATAATATATGTAATCAGGTAAAAATACACATATGTACCTAGTCAATCACTGGCTACACTTCAATAATGAACTAAAGTAAACTTTCTGATCATAATGATCACTTGTATTATTATATCAGTCACATGATATGTCACAGTGTAAATTTTTGTATATATAAAACTATAGCAAAAACATATAGAATTACATATAAACTTTGTTGCGATGATGTTTCTTCGTTTACATATTAACTTTAAATTAAATTTTATGAATAAATACATCAAGAAAAGAAGAAAAAATTATGTTTTAGATCAAATAAATATGTAGAATTATGTGTCAAACAAATTTGCTTAAGAGATTAGAAAAGATTATCTAAGTAGAAAAAAAGTTTTACATAGAAAAACTAGAAATTTTGATATTAGTACATAGAAAACCTTTTTTTTACTAAGATAATCTTTAAAACTGTTAAATTTTTCTTTTTAGCAGAGTTACACTTTTAAATTGTATCAAAATTGCAAAATTTTTATTCGGTCTAAAACATAATTTTTTCTCCTTTTTTTGATATATTTATTTGTAAAATTTTATATATACAAAAATTTACCTCATGACATATTGTGTAACTGATATGATATGGTGGTGACGCCTGTATGATATACTAATAGAAAATCATAAGCAAGCAATGTTTTGAATGGATTCGACCCAAGAAAGTATAGTGATTACAAAAAAGATTCATAACACATCATATATTCTATAAATCAAGAATCACTGATCCAATTTTGATCATTCTGTATTTAAACGAATGTTACAGACTATTAGATTCATTTAAATTTAAGATGATAGAAAGTGGATCAGTTATTTTCAAAATATAGCTATTAAATTGTGCCAAACATTAACAATACCTAGTATTAATATATAAGAAAAACAAAATAGAAAAAATGAGAACTATGATCAATTATAAAGCATTGAAACAAAGAAGATTAACCCATATATTTTGTAATGAAATTTTTAATCAAAATTTCAGGTTAATGCCAGAAATGAAATATAAAGCATGCCAGGTTCCTTATTAAGACTACTTTGATAGATCTCATTTTTCTGACAATTAAGGTTGGCTCGATTTATAGTTAAAATCAGCCTGATTTAAAGTTAGTATTGGTTAAAAGTAAAAAGTCAGTGAAATATCTGTTGGTAAATCTGCAAGAATAATTTTAAATACAAGATTTGATAAATAACGATAACCTTGTATATCCACTAAATATTCATAAACTTTTTATTTTGAATATTCTATAAATCAATATATTTAGTAGGTTCAAAGTATTATGAATAGTACGTATCTTTGAACAAAACTTATCTGAAATATTCATTGATTAATAAATAATCTTAAGTTGAAATACTTCACTTTATTTGCTAAAAATGCATTTTTATTTATTGGAAGAGGGATGATTTATTTATTTTCTCTGCTTAGTCAATGTGACAAAATGAACTGAAAATTACTATGCAGCAATAAGTATCCATGAACTTAAAATATCTTATATCAAATACAATCGATTAATAAATAATTTAATTTTTACTTACTTAATAAGAATAAAATAAACCTAAACAATAAATATATAGTGATACACTGATTAGCAAATTTAAATAATCACTTACTAAATTCATGAGCAGTAAACATCCATAAATTTAAGTATCTTATCCTAAATAAATCAACGCATATAAAATGAGTTAAGGTGAAAGATATGAACAATAAATACCAATAAACTTGAATATCTTAACCTAAACAGTTCATGTAATAAATATAAATAACCACCTGCTAATTTGATGAACTTAAATCAGAGTTACTATTAACAAACCAGTCTGAACCTAGCTCACATGAAGTTACTAAGAAAAAAATGTCCGTAAGCTTAATATAAATACATCAGTTAATAAGTTAATATAATCTTTTACAGGGTGTGATAACTTAGTGAAGTTGGCAAGTTGTCACACCCCCAAGCAGCAGGACTAGAGTTCAAATCCCACTAGCAACGAAAATTTGAATTTAAGAAAATGTATTTGGAAGACTATATCCTATTGGGTTATAGAACATGTAATAGTAGTTATACCAGCTTGTACTGGAAGGTAGTAGAATATATAGTGTGATGTATAAGTTATACGAAACCCAAGTGAAGCTACTGGATAAATCCAGCGAATTTACAGAGTACAGGAGCCTGCTTGGCAATACTTGAGTAGAGAGATAGCACAGATCTTCGATGACACTATGTAAAGAATTATCTGGAAACCAGAAAACCGGACAGAACCGAAGTGTTTGGCAAGGCACTCTCCACCAACCTGGCTATCAGAAGAGTAACCAGAGGAAAAGAACCTAATCATGGGGACCAAGAGCAGGTTACAGCCCTTCCGGGCTAACTGGATTAGAAGTTTGGAATAACGGGAGGATAGTCCGTATAGTAGATACTAAAGTTTGGGTGAACTCTATAAGGGTGGTAATAGGTAATGATAGCGGCTTTGGCTCGCAAATACTTGTCCTCAGACTCAGCGTAAGTTACCGAAAGCCTAGGTTAACTGGATTGTGGATATAGGTAGCTCTAGCAACGATGTCTCGAGGATAAATTAGTTCTAAGGATATAGATGAGCATCCAGAACTTTGTAAGATGTAATAGTGATACAGGTAGAGTTACATTACAGAGAGTTTAATTGGATAGCTCAAGTAATAGTGGGTTATAGGTACGACATCTAGTGTAGAACCTAGTAATAGGTAGATACTTAATTA